CATGGAGACTACATTAACTGGATGAAACAGAGGAGGAGATACGGCTGGGTGGGTCATCAATGTCGCTTTCTTCAGACAGGTTAACATACAGGGGAAACTTGCTTGTTGAAGGTATTGGATCATCTTTAGGGAGTGAAGAGGCAGCACTGGTGGGGCGTGAGGAGACAGCAATGGGGGACTTCTTAAAATATATGTCCAATTTAGACTGCACAGTTTGCTTTTTCTTTACATTGTAAATCTCCCTGTAGCAAGCAAGTGCATCTTGGATCATTCTGTCAACTTTTGCAAAACACTCAACATTTTGATTCATTCTGTCAAACATTTGCATCCCTTTATCAATTGTAGCAAATGCCTCTGCCATTTGTTTCACTGAAATTTTTTTGAGGGGTGCAGGTTCTTCTTCTACATTTTGACTCTCTTCTTCCTCTGCAATTTTCTGTGCTTCCAGTTCAATAAGATCCTCAATACTTAGCTCTTCTGCTACACTTTCAACCAACTGCTCAACATCTTTATTATCAATTTCTAACTCCAGCTGTTTATATCATCCCATGATGCAGCAATGTTCTTTATACATTTCATAATGTTGTACTCCTTCCAAAACTCATTGAGCATTTTCTCACCTTCAGTAGCAGCAACAGCCTGAGCAAAGGTCGTACGTAAATAATTCGCTTTAAAAGCAGCAACAGCACCTTGATCCATGGGTTGGATGATAGAGGTAGTGTTAGGTGGAATGTGGACTACCTTAACATCAGGGTGCAGGTCGTTCAGGTGTGGTGGGTGTCCCGGAGCATTATCCAAAATTAACAAAATCTTGAATGCAATCCATTGTTGCAGACAATACTCCTAAGCTCGTGGAATGAAACAAGTCAGGAACCAATCCTCAAACAATACTAGGGTCATCCATGCTTTCTTATGACTGCGATGAAACACTGGCAGTGTGCGCTTGCTGACATATTTAAAAGCTCTTGGGTTCTCTGAATGATATATCATGAAGGGCTTTATCTTGAAACCAGCTACATTCCCCCCCAACAGTAGTGTGATTCGGTCCTTGAATGCCTTGAATCCCGGCATTATTTTCGTCTCTTTGTGGATGTATGTCCGTTCTGGCATGCGCTTCCATAATAAGTCAGTTTCATCCACATTAAATATTTGCTCAGGCAAATAATTTCCCTCCACGATGACACGATCTAGCTCCTCCTTAAAAGCTTTGGCAGCACCCACATCAGCACTTGCTGCCTCTCCACTCACCTTTACACTATGCAAACTGTAGCGGTTCTTAAACCTTTGAAACCACCCATGACTTGCTGTGAAGGTGTGGTCGCATTCATCTCCTGCCTGCTCCTTCAGGCTTCTGAAAAGGCTTCTTGCCTTAGCCTGTAGGGTTAGAAGGCTTAAGGGTACACGCTTTTGTATCTGGTCTTCCATCCATATCACAAGTAATTTTTCCATCTCATGAATAGGACCTTGTCTTTTTTTCGTTATTATTGTTCCCTTTATAGGTGCTGATCCTTTCACTACCTCATGAGTACTTTCCTTGTCCTTCAAAATTGTCGATATGGTCGAGTGCGAGAAGCCTAGGTCGCGTGAAATGGTTGCTACCGTTTTTCCATTTTCATGGTACATTATTATCTTCATTTTTGTCTCAAAAGAAATTGACTGTCTCCTTTTCTTCTGAGCACCACCAGCACTCTCACTTCTACGCTTGCCAGTCATTCTAAAGCGAATTAGAACGAAAATATTGTCAGTACACAGCACGATCACTATCGACAACAACGACAGCCAAACACCAACTAAGCACTCTACGGTGTGGGTGCTGTAGCCACGAGGCGACGCGCACCAGCCCACGCGACGCTCTCGTACGGGACAGAAACGTTTCAGTCTAGAAAATACACGCGTCATTTGAAAAAATTTTGGTACCGATTGCGGGGGTCGTATGTGTGTGTATTTTGTACTAACAAAAATACACAATAAAGGCACTGATACAGGGTATTAACACTTTTGTATGTTACATGTTGGACAAATAGTAAGCAATTCAAATAGCATACACACCCCTGCCATATACCAAATACTGTATACAGGTAAGTACTGTACTGTACAACTTAACCAGTCAATCAATAAACAGTCTTGGACATTTCCACATTAGACACTCACTCACAAATGTGAACCCTGTAAATGTGAGACTAGGGAATCCGAAGCAACAGGCAGAGATTTAGTAATCTGGTAACAATGTGTATGTGTGTGTGTGTGTGTGTGTGTAATAATAATATATAATAATAATTAACAGTTTATTGAAAGAGCATGGCAGTCAGAAGGCTGAAAATATACAGTTACATAATTTGGGAATGGGTCTCTTGATTTACAAATAATATACAAGTAACATAAGTGTGTGTGTGTGTGTGTGTGTGTGTGTGTGTGTGTGGGGGGGGGTTAGAAGGAGTGTTAAGGGTTGGGGAATGTGCAGGAGGTGTGGGGGTAACCAAGTTGTGTTGTGCATGCAGCTGTCTTGTGCTGTTTCATACAGTATTATGAATAGATGGAGATGGAAGCTGGTGATTATGATTAAGGAAATGGGTTTGAACTTGTATTAAATATAAATATATATATACATGTACATATATATATATATATATACTATGTATATATATATATATATATATATATATATATATATATATATATATATATATATATATATATATATATATATATATATATATATATATATATATATATATATATATATATATATATATATATATATATATATATATATACTGTATATATATATATACACAGTATACAGTAATTAGCGATTTATTAAAACTATTTATTAAAACTATATAATGAGTCCAGTTTTATTTAAACATGTAAACTACCAGGACAATAGCCTCCCCCTCCCCTTACACCTTGCCAGCTCCCTTGCTCCCTCCCTAGTCACCACTGATATGATGTAATGTGAACCAAGTTGGTGGAAGGAAGATGTTATAGTGTGCATTTCAGCTTTGTTAGGTGGTGTGCCCTCCACCCCACTCACACCTCCAGCCACCCATGACAACACTTACCCAGTATTACCACTAACTACCACACATGGTGAACTCAGTATTCCATTATGAATGTAAGCCAAATACAGTACTTGACTTTTGCATAAATAGAGTGTTTGTCATAAGCATATACAGTACAAGCAATTAATGTGGATTAGAAACCTTAAAATTTCAGTGCATATAGAGTATAGTATTTATATGTATTGTGTAATATTCAAATTCATCCCATTTTACCAAGTACCGAGGAATTAGGCTTGCAAAATGTTTTACTGTATACACATATTGATCAGTTGATCGGCATCCATTATTGCCATTAATATTTTCATGGTAAATTCCAGTTTAAGGATAAATACAGTAGTATCTTAGTATCTCTGACAACAAATTGTTTAACAGGTTGAACCTCAATTTATTGGCATCAACGGGACCTGGACCGTGCCGTTAAATCCAATTTGCCATTAAGATTGTTAATCATACAAGTTGTAAAATTACCTGCACGTGAGAACATTTCCCGACCTGCCACCCTTGTTTTACCACAAATAAGAAGGGCCGCTTCACTTGAAAACTTTCTTTGAGTTGTTATTCTATTATCTGCCTTTGTTTTTCTCATGATTTACTTAGTAAGAAGTCAACTGCAAATATGTGGTTATTCAAATAGTCTAGTCATATTAATCCCTATGGTACTGTATTATATATTTTGAAGAAGTCTTTGAAACATGCTATGAATATTTTCTCAACAAATTGTGGATGTATAACCTTGGTTGCTCATCTCCTTGCCTCAAAGCCTGCGATTAGTGTTTTTATATCTCTCCTCCCACGTCCCCACACCCCCATTTTTTGTGGTCACAGGTGGCTTCAATATATCCTATTACTGTTAATATTAATAACAATAAACATGTAAGGATGCTTCCATCACTTACAATGGATAATCTATTTCCTGTCGTATGCAAAATTGGGAGGGGAAGATAACAAAATAGTGGCTCTCCCTTGCTCATTGCCCAACACCACTTCCACGCGTCCACTATTGTCCTGGTGGTTTAGATTAGAGACGACCTATTACACAGGTTTTAACTATTCTCACTAATTACATATCTTTAATACAAGTGCATACCCATATCCTAAAATCTTAATCACCCCCTTCCATCTCCATTTATCCATATGCTTAAACAATACATGGCAACTGCATCACCACAAAACTCAGTGACACCTGCACCTTCACTCCTCAACTCTCTTCCTTCCATACCTTCCACTCACCCTGCCACACACACATTGCTTCCTGATAAATGAATCTCTGTTGCTTCGAATTCCCTAGTCTCACATTAACGGGGCCCACATTTGTGGGCGAGTGTCTAACCATTGCTATGAAGTCAGCCAGGCAGCATCCGAGCTAGGATAGTTGTTAAGGCGAGTGTCGAGGTAGTTGGTGCCCTCAAGAACTGTAATGCAGTGTGTACAATAACTTTGGTAATTTTTGCTCTTTTTATGCTTTTGTTATTGCTGTTTATATGCCTACAATTTTAAGTTTTAACGTTACAGTGTACAGTACAGTAAAGTTACTTTTAAGGGTGAATCTTGTAATCTGAACAGAGGCTAATGTGCATACAGTATTTATCGGAAAAATATATTAAAATTATTCTTTTTTCAATAATAAGGGATTTTAAGAACATACCTAAAGAATAAATGTAAGATTAATGTAAAATATTTCATTACTGGAAATGCATTTCGAATTTATATTATACTGTAGTAATAAAATCTCCTATTTCAAAATTTCTGATGTTTCAAATCCTCTTTTCCCCCCTTTAGTGCAAAATTATTATTTGGCAATTGGTCTTCCCCCAATTCGTCCAATATCCCAAGGGTTTACTGTACTTAAGTATAATCAATAATGCACCATAAACCAGTTATTATGTTGTCACAACCTCTCTCGGTCAGTTTCACAATCAACAGTTTAGAGTGACTAACCTTATCACTGATGAAGCTCCAGGAAGGGTGGGAGGCCACCACCATGTATGTTCCTGAGGACAATGGAGTAAATACATAGGAGCCATCAGTAGTGGTCTGGGTAGTCTGAATTAGGTCCTTCCCTCTGTAGAGAGACACTGTCACTCCCTGGGGGCCAGCATCATTCCCAACACTCACCACCTGTCAAATGTTCAAAACAAGTCAGAAGGGACAATAGAATCATATTACATCATAGTATCTTGCATCAATGGTAGCCTGAATATACTGTGATATTTTCGTGGAGAGAATGAACTACAGCACTTTATGTCTGGCCACACTGGGGGATGGAGATGAACTGAAGAACATAAAACAGCACCCACTCATTAATTCTTCTAGTATGGATCATTTTTCCACCATTGTTTCATGCTCTATACCACAGTGAAAATGAATGTTTTCAATTTTATTGGTGCTGCCTTTTCCCTAAATCAATCAACAATTAACCCTTTGATTGATGACACTACTATTACATATCACACTGAACAATATATGAAGCAATTTTTTCGATATTCAGAGTAAATTACTGTACCCACCTTCCCAATGACTGCAAAACCTTTGAAGTGGAAGTTTATGTCCTGTCCTTGGCTGCAGGCATCAGTCTCCCCATTAATATTCAATGATACTTCTTCTGGTTCAAAACTCCAACCAGGTGGGGGAGAAACCTGTTCAGAACATTAACAAGAATGGTTATAATTCTACTAAAACACTTGCAATATTGCAGAAAAAAGATTCAAAAAATCATACTCTCAAATTCTCTAGACCAGAACATCCAAGATTACCACCAGAATTGTGTTTACTGTGTGTTGTCATGGCCCATACCAGTTTAGTCACTGTTATCCCTGTCTGAACATGTGGCAGTAAAGCTCCATACTCTTCAAAAGAGTTGAAGAGTTGACAGCTTGTACACAGTTACAGCAAGCAAAGTTTTCTTGGTATCAAAATGTTGCCATAACCATGATGTTTTCATATGTGAGTATCCTTTGCTAGTTTAAAGTGTAAATAATAAATAGAAAACAATAATCAAAACCATTTTTTCCCCCCAAAATTTAAAATGTTGCAAACCTTTCTCTGGCAGGAGTGTACCAGAGTAATATAACTAGTGAAAAATATTAGAAACAAGTTTATCTTGAAAATTTTGAAACCATCTGAGGTGCTTGATATATCCTATATACAGTACCAGAAAATGTGCCTTGGGGTAACCTTGGACAGCTCAAAAATGACGTGGGAGGCACAATCCAAATATTATTCACACATATTTGCAAGATTGGATGATATAAAACTCGTACAGTAGTGACATTATGCATAGTACTGCTAACAAAATAATGATAGAACTAATGTATTAGAAATAAGTCCCAAACAACCAAATACAGGACTGTACTGTACAGTACTGTATATTGCACTTGCCATTATTGGCTAACTTTAATAGGTTTGTGCACTAGTGATCAAAATAATATCAATGAAGGTGTACCATTATCTCAGCCAATATAATGTGAAAAGATCAAACAAATTCATCAGGAATTAAAATTAATAAGTCTTATGATTTCCCTGTGCAGTGGTCCCTCGGTTAACAAACGCCTCGGTTAACGAATTACCTTCCATAAGAATCTTCATTTCGGTTAACGAACAAAAATACGGTTAACGAAATTCTTACGAAAATGTTTTGATATGCTTTGGCTTGCTCACCAGCTGGAAGAATAGTCCGCCAATACAGAAATCGGTTCTAGGGCTTACATTCGTTAAAATTGGAGTAAATATCAAAAAAGGTTGTACTATTCAAGTTTTATATTAAATTTTTTAGTCATTTTAACACTTATTTAACATAATTGCAGTACAGGGAACTAGTTTTTGGTGCGCCCATCAGCCACTTCACTCACCCACCAAGGCCGCAGTTTGTATCTCTATTCAGTGGAGGAAACATCTTGCTTGTGCATCTCTTGAACACAGAGTATTTTTACGTTTTTACAGTACAATTATTGATCATTCTGAAATTGATTTAACATATTGACAATATATAGTGCAGTGCAGTGTTGATTTAAAGAAAATGATCTTGAATTACACCAGGTGAACTTAAAATTTTATGGGTGAAATGACGGCATCAAGCATGGGGTGATTTCTCTTCCACCCCTACTTCCTTCTCTTCTCCCTTCTCCTCCACCCCACTTCTAATTCCCATCATCATCATCATCAACCAGGAGCCTTCTACATACACACCCCAAAGTAAGTGTACTTTACTGCATTTTTTTTTTTTACTTTGTATGTAATTTTCGGTGAGCTGGAACCAATTACCCAAAATCCCATTGAAACAATGGTTTCGGTTAATGAACGACCTTCTTGAACGAATTGTGTTCGTTAACCGAGGGACCACTGTACTGTCATGGCAATCACTATCTCAAAAATCTTGCTGAGAAACTCACTGTTGAGGGTATGATATACAGTACTGAGGCCAAAGTCTGTAACTCATATTCCTATTCTGTGAAAATACAAAATCTTCATACTGCTTGGTTCCACAGATGTCTTAAGAAGTCACTTGGTCACATTTCTGCTATATATAAAGTACAGTAGTTGCACCTTTAATTGTTCACCCAAACCTCTATTATCTAATACAGGTATCCCTCGTTATATGAACGTTTACTCTATGAATATTTGCTTACACGAATAACGTACATGGATTTTATTTTTACACCTTTCTCATTACACGAAAGCTATTCTCACTTCCCTATATGAATAGGGTCCTTTATGGTAATGCATCATATTTATTCGTACAGGTATAAATTTTTTCATGTGTTGGGTACAGTACTGCAGTTAGATATTAAATTAACGTAACGTGGTACTAAATTACATTAGTTAGGTACTAAATTACAGTATTTAGGTACTAAATTATGATAGTTAGGTACTAAATTACTATTATAGTTAGGTACTAGTTTACAGAAGTTAGGTAGGATATTGTTTGTAAACCTATTCATTTTTGAGGTATAATATTGGGGTTTTCTTGTTATTGGGGAACCTAACCCTTTTTTCCCCAATATTTTACTGCATGTTACTCACTATACAAATATTCACTGATGAATGATTCTCAAGGAACCTAACCCATTCGTATAGCAAGGGATACTTGTACAGTTCTTGTTGTGTGATGATTTTGTTCATAAAAGTTGATTTTAGTTGACCAAATAAGATTTACTGGTGAAGAAATTAAGAACTCACCTTTTTTAGAATTGAAAATTTATTGTACAGTTATTTGAATACATTTTCCTTCTCTTCATCACTGTCAGAATGTTGCAAATCCACATTAAAAAAAAAAAAATCTGTCATTACATATTGTAACTTATGACCTGAGAGGAAATTAATTAGAAACGGTTAGGGTGCTAGTACGCTAACAAAGACTTTTGATTCATATTACGTACAGTATTTCATGTCCATTCCTAGACAGGCTAATCCTCAGGTGATCCTAAAAATTTGTACAACATTAGGCATTAGCTATTTAAAAAATATCAGTAAGATCAACTTACAAGAATCACATGACTTTATTCTTTTACCAATAATAACATATAAAAATTACTTGAACAGCCAATTTACCTTAATTACATACTGGCCCTTGTCATATAAGGGCATGAAGTAATAGCCATTGTTTGGTGCACATTCCGTTTCATACTTCAGGTTGCCTTGTTTGGTGTAGCTGAAATATTAAATGACCACAATTATTTGCTGTTATAGAAAAGTGTAAAACAATTTATACAAATTATTATCAGAAGCCTTTGATACTCTCAAGACAAACTGCAGTAAAGTGAAAATGGGTCCAGTGCCAGATGTCCCGTGAGGGGCTGTGTAGATAAAGGATACTGTAGACTAAGCCTTTTTTCAGAACACAAAGAGGCAGAGTGATTGCCACTACAGTCAGCTGTTTTCACTTCTCCAACTGTAAAATCTGGTATCCATGCACAACTGGGTGGTCTGGGGTTGCCCTAGATGGAAACTGAAGTTATACATTATCTGTCCATCTAAATATGAATAACCAAAGAAATCTACTTAACCTTACCTAACTTCCTACCTGAGGGGAGGGGTTTACCCCCCTTCCCCCAACCATATACTACTGGATATTAAAAAAGTATTTATTTTGATATCTGGTACCAACGAAAGCAACTTCCTTGAAGCATCGTGGTGCAATTTTACATTTTTTGTGGCAGATTTTTCAGAGGAGTATTTACGGTATATAAATAATTTCTTCACATACAGTAGACATGATTTGGTTACTTTGTAATTTTGACCAATTACAGAATTTTTATTAGAAAATGTGTTTTTCTGACAGTTCAGACAATTCCAAGACACTTTTCTTCTATGACGTTTCCCTTGCAAATGACTTATACTATATGCCCGGGGATCCTGGGGACAGAGCCCCCTGTTAGGTTAGGATAATTTTAGGTAATTTACGAAGGAAATGTCATAGAAGAAAGGTGTCTTTGAACTGTCTGAACTATCGGAGAAACAAATATTTTCTAAAATTAATTCCGTGGTTAGTCGAAACTACAAAATTTACCATTAATTTTAGTGTCATATGATCAGTTTTTCACTGTGTTTTACCCTGAAATTTCCCTCATCCTTCATACCCTATCCACTACAAGTGATTTATGATAATTATAGATAGATAACCCCCCCCCCCCAAAAAAAAAAAATATTGGTTAATATTGACGACTAACTTACCAATGCATAATTTGTTTTGATGTTTATTTTCTTACCCTTTTCATCAGTGAGTTCAGTTATGATACTAATTTCTTGTGCAAATGTTTTGTTTGGTAGATAATTAGGCACCTAGGCACGCATTACTTTGTCTTCTCGGCGGTAATGCAGTGGTGACGTCTCTTCCCAGAATGCAAACAGCCAATCATATAGGCACATTTGAAAACACTCCACTGCCACGGGTTGGTTCAATGCCGATGCTCAGTGTATGTTTATGAGCTGTTCGGTAAGGGCGGCTGCTATCACGTCCACAAAAAACATAAAATTATACCATATCTTAGCAAATTCTTTCGGCTCAACATAGGGGGGTGGTCTGGGGAGGGGGGTGTCTGGGGAGGGGAGGGGGGTGTCTGGGGAGGGGAGGGGGGTGTCTGGGGAGGGGAAGAGGTTAGGTTGGTGAGGTGTTCTAACAAAGCTTCTGCCGCTTGCTTTTCATATCAACTAAGGTTAGGTTAGATTTAATTTAGAAATAACCGCCTTTTAACACATTTGCACAAACAATGACAGTGTCCACTGTAAAACCCATTGAAATTATGGCATTTTTATAATCATTTTCTATGAAAAATTGGCCTCGGGTCACTTGTCAATAATTAACAAAATACTTATTATTAAAATAAAAAGTTGAGGTCAATTTATGATAGTAGCCAGGTTTCGATTTTCCATAAAAATTACGTTTTTCTTATGGTTCTTGTTGTGATTCGAAGAAATCTGACCTGACCTAACCAAAACCTGGCTACTGTCCTAAATTGACCAAAGTTGTTGCCTCTTTTAAAATATTTACTATAATGATAAGAACATCTGTAGAAAAAAATGAACGATATCGAGCAACTCCTGTTGGTGATGGTATTCACAAGACAATACCCAAAAGACACTGATACCACCACTATGAAATTAAAACCATATACCTTGGCTGCCTCACAATTGTGCAGTACATCACAACCAGTGGCACAATTTTTCAAGAACTTCCTTATCCTCCACTGCATGTATTGCATTATGTTTATTATTTGGGGAAGGATTTGGGGTAAAATTGCAGATTACAGCAACCAAAGAATCCGATAAAAAAAAAATATGTTTTTCTGATGTTTTTTGATGTGATTGGTTCAAATCTGACATTCGTTTTTATCAGAACTCACTCATTTTGGATTCCCCCCCCCCCTTTAATAGTTCTATCGGTTGTGTGTTCTGAATTTCCGGTACTTTGTGCTAGCTAACTTATACAATATAACCAAACAAAACCTTACCTAGCACCCTAGCCGGGGGCTCTGCCCCGAACCCTCAGTGACCCTAGCCAAGGGCTTTGTCCCCGGACCCCCAAATGCTATGTATTAACCCAGAGTCGCGTGGTCAGCCTCCACAAGAATATAAATAGCCGTTACAGTATTTCTTACCATACTCTGAGTCAGGGACCAGAACGTGTTGTGGGTTCCTCTGTTCTCTAAAGGTTTCTTATTTTTAAAATGAAATAATACAATACACTTCCAATAATCAAAATCGCACCCCAACACATAATGGCTCCATGCTGCAACTGATTAAAAATGTCGCACATCCTACCACCCACGCAGAATATCGAACGCTAATTGGTTGAATCAAATGCTGTGATATTTTATTGGATTTGATTGGCTGCCCCCCCACTCCGCGTGACTCGAAACCCTCCCTCCCGCACATGCGCGGGTGTTAAGTGAACGTACGAACACACAATTTGAGCAACAGCATAGGGGCAACAGGTACTCTGATTTTATTTATTTTTGAATTCAATAACTTCCTTATTATCAATTTGCGACGGAAGTGTAATATAAGAAAATTATCACAGAAAAAAAAAGTTCTTTCAATTAAGTGTAGTGAATTTCCGGAATTCTGTGGTTGCTGCATACTGAAATATTACCGGATTTTTGGTATTATTATTGTTTCGGTCATGCAGCGAATTTTAGAATTTTAAAAATAGGTTAGGCTGAAATTATGTTTTTCTGATGGTTTTAGATGTGTTTTGAACGATTCTGACCTATTTCCAAATAGATGCATGACAGAAACGATAATTTTACAGGATTTTTTCATAGGAACATATCTCAATTTTTATATTGGGAGTCCCAACCCTACAAATTACCAAATGGAAGTCTGGGTTTACCAGCTCTTTTTATGAAACCTTAGATGAATGTACTTATTTTATGTATACCAAAATTGAGTAAAATTGCAGTTTTGGCCAATCTGCTCTAGTAGTTTAGAAATCAGTTTTGGTTAAAGTGTAGATTAATGCTGCCAAAGATTCTAGCAAGAACACACTGCTTTTCCACCATAATTTTTGTTGTTAATTGATGTGACAGTGTTCTCTTTTGGGGAAGTGTTTCTTTTTTATAATTTATACTATAATACTGTCGGCGAGCCATGGGAGGGGGAGTGCGTAGTGCGCGGATCATCTGAATTACATTACCATGCTATATAATACATGACCCAACTCTGAAAAAATAGCGTTTCCCCAATAGGAGAATACGTTACATTAGGTTAAATAAGGATAAGTTAAATACTGACAACATTATTTAACCACTCGCGGGGGGGCCGAGGGCCGCGAAGTCCCTGCCCTCCGGTTAAGGTATTAGGTTAAATAAGGAAAAGATTAGTTTTTTGTTTTTACCCCAGAAAAAACTATCTCCAATAAAAAAAAGCAGCAAAATTCATGCAGGAAAAAATTGTTTTTGCTGGCAAAATCGCTCGCAGCACTAAAGTAAACATTTACCGTTATTCCTCTCCCCCCTCCCCCCCAAAAGAGTATTTAGAACTTTAAAATCCATTTGACATTATTATTCTTTGTCCCCTGGTTGGAATGGGGTTAGAAATACTCCAAATAAGGAGATATTAAGGTTGGAGATGGTTAAAAACAGTCGACCGCGTACTGGCCGAAACTGGAATACCCAAAATTGTCTATGTACAAGATGAGCAAGAGTAAACTTCCAAAATGATTTTAGTAATAAAGACCAATCTTACTCAATAAACCGAGGGGCACGTATCACTATAATAACTAAAGCAAGATAATACTTACAGTTTTATCCCAACTTGAGAGTAGTTGATCTCTACATCACTTCTGACATAACCTCCACATCCTAAGACATCATTCGAGAAAGAACATTGGGGGAAATGTGCTATAAATAACCAAATAAAGAGGAGTGACCACTGCCCAGACATCCTCACACCGGTAGCAGACGACATCAACACAACAATCAGGGTTGCCAACTCGGATTTTCAAATGTCGCTAGGCTGGTACCTAAATGTCGCTAAATCTTCCATGGAAAGTCGCTAGCTATTATTCCCTCCCTTCAGTATAAAAAAATGCATTATGTAAAAATAAAAATATTATTTTTTTTAAAGTTTAATGTGCACACTTACCTATTATTCAATAGTAATTGCATCCCAGTCCTCTTCGTAGTCGTCGGCAGTGTGAACAACTGTAGAGCTGGAAGCATGTGAAGTGCTTGGTTCAGGTTCTCTTGTAACTGTATGCCTCCACAGTCCCTATCTTTCGTAAAATATCACTAGGAAGTTCATAACTTGCACAACAGGTGTTCTGTCTTTTTAACCCATACTTTATTGTAAGAATTGCCTTTAATGTCGATAGTTTCATTTTGTTGCGCAATTTTGATTTCACAAAGTTCATATTACTAAATGTGCGCTCTACATCTGCGTTTGAATGCGGAAGAGATAAGGCAGCGAGTGCAATTTCAGCCAGATCATGGTAAGGGTTTTCACCTGTCGCATCTCGGTAATTTGCCACTTCTGACCACAATTTTAGGGTGTTAGATGTTTCTGTCCAGAATGTGTGATGCAGTTTTTTCCACTGGAAATCAATCTTGGTAAGGGTGCTGGACTCTTCTGTAAATAAGTGTGCCAAACCAAGTATATCTGATTTAAAAGGCTTCAAGCATTCATCGGCACTCAGAAAAGAAATAGACTGCAGCACACGAAAGTTGTCAAGTAAGCGTTGACGAAGTTGTTTTATGAGTTCAACCCGTTCAAATGTATTGTCCCTGTAACCCCGTTGCTATATATTATGGCTCGAAATTAGGAAAACTGAGTTTTCATGGACAGTCCAAAAGTATCCAGAAAGTCGCTAGATTTCTGTGGATATCTCTAGATTTGGGACAACTCGCAAATCGCTCTAAAATGTCGCTAGAAAAAAACAAAAAGCTCTAGATCTAGGTACAAAGTCGCTAAGTTGGCAACTCTGTCTACAACCAGGGAGGAAGGTTCAGTGGCGTCTGGATCCTGGACCTCAGTAACGATTTGCTTTATCAATTTCTTAGTTTTTCGGTCTGTTCTTTTTAATTTTCTCATGGCCATCATTGTCAAGTGTTGATACAGGAATAAACCGGAATACCCGTCATGATGTCAAGATCAAAATAATAATAACTGCTACTTTTAAAATAAATGAAGCAAGACAGTCCTGGACGTCACTGAAAATTACACGAAGCTACTGTAGACACAAAGTTTAATTAGAGTTCAGCTAAACATTCACGAGGTCACTGAAAATTACACAAAACCATAAACTCACGGATGTCACTGAAAAGAACGCAAAACTAGACATGGCCAATAATTGGACCTTGACTATTGCTAGGGTAAATCTGCACATTCACCTCCCACTCTGTTAGAAAGTCAAAAATATATATTTTTAGTGTATTTGTGTGTTTAGACCGAATATGGCTGGGTTTTTTATCTATTTTTTTTCGTGGGACGATTTTCGAAAAACAAAATGGCTAAGCGAATAAAAAGTACACCAAAATACACTAGAAAAACATAAACCTAACCTAACCTAACTGACTCTCACCATATGATGGAATTGTAGTGGATTTCTCCCCTACAAACGCTGTTTGTCGCTGAGCAGCCGATCCCGTGAATTCCCGTGTATGCCTCGTGGTCTAGGTCAACCAGCGCCGCCTTACATGACGGAGGTCAACTATTAAGCCACGTCTACCTCCGCTATATAAGACCTGACCTCGTGGTGACCACCCTCTCTCTCTACCTACACCAACCAGCAAGCAACACCACCTCCTCCGCCGCTGCCTGGCGGCCCTCGCTCCCGCAGGCGAGCATGGCGACCCACAAGCTGGTCCTCCTCTGGACACCCTCACCAACCAGCTCTCTCTACTCAACGCTTGTTACCATGCTGCCTACCCAGCACCAAGCTGCATTGTACATCCAATACAACATGTATACAGAGAGCACATTGTGAGTTTCTTCTCTCCATCCCATCCTGAGTGTGAACCCAAAAACATCATTACCCCACAGAATCACCTATTTCTTACCTTATTGGCCTGGTTCTTGTTCGTCGTTGGATTCTGAGATTCTTACACAACGCCACATATGTTGGTCTTTGCGATATTTACATTGTCTTGTACTTAGGACACTTTACTGAGGTTGGAAGAACACCATGTGATCGAAAAAAATGCTATAGTGTCTTCTTTATTTTTTCCCAAGAACTCGCAATCAGCTCCATATAATTTACAGTAAGTGACACCCATCACAGACTTCCATGGTGGGAAATGAATATGAATTTCGAAATATGAGACCCAAAATAAAAATCGATTGTGATTGGTCCTAAAATACCGCGAATTAAGCCCCAAATTATTTTAATTGGTTGCAAAAAAAAAAACCGCTTTTGATTGGTCGCTTGAAGTGTACGGGAACGCATGCCCGTGATGATTTATGAAGGAGACAGCAGTGTGGGAGGTGAGGTAGGCGATAATGGCGGAAGATTAATGAAAGAAAATAGAGACAATATTGGATGTGCTATCTCTGTTATTATACATTTACAACGGTAATGTAATAGATGAAAATGATCTTATAATTAGATGTCTTATTAGAATATTATAATAGATCAGTGGTAGGAATGTGGAATGTGAAAACGCAATAATACCATTGCTAGTTTGGCGGACAATTTCGGTCTCAGTTTGCTGAATATTTGATGCTTAATGCAATGGAGGGCACTACTCAGTCGAGTGCCCTTAACTGGAGCTGGCGGACGCTCGCCCTACAAGGGGTCATAGCTCAAGGTTGAAGAAGCCGCAAGCCCAGAAAACTGTGAGGGTAACTTTTTCGGAATGAAAGTTATGAACTCTTGGAACAATCTGGGTGGCAGGTAGAGCGGGTGGGGGTGTCCCGCTGTCCCCTGTCTCTGTGCTGGCACTCTTGCTCCCACTACCCTTCCCTTGTATATAAACCGTGTGTGTCCGTCCCTCTTCCTTTGCAACTCCAGCCTCCTCTGCTTCAAGCTCTGTAGAAGTTTTTTTGTGCTGTTCCCTATGCATTACTGTGTGATCTGGGTGTATGAATATATTCCGAAATGCATCCTTTTTATACTTTTATCCTCTTCACCACTGATCGGCTCGTCAGCCGCTTGGGCGATCGGTCACGTCTCTGATTACTTTTCCTTTTCATTTATCCTCTTCACCAAAAGATCGGCTCGCTAGCCGCCCGGGCGATCGGTCACGTCTCTGTCACGCACTGTTGGCAAATATTGGGAATGCACCGGCTCCTGAATGTACCTGAACCCGCTCCAGTGTTGGTCAAGTCTTGTCTTGAAAGAGCTCGCACTCGGTGCCGTCACAACACTCTCTGGTAGATTGTTCCAAGAGTTTACAACCCTCACTCTGAAAAAGTTTGCCCTCACAGTTTTCTGGACTTGCGGCTTCTTCAGTCTTGAGCTGTGATCCCTTGTGGGGCGAGCGTCCACCAGCTCCAAGTAAGTACACTTGACTGAGTAGTGCCCCCTGAGATGCTTATACACCTCAACTAGGTCACCCCTTGCCCGTCTGTAATATACTAAGCTAAGCAAGTTCAGGCGCTCCAATCTCTCAGGGTAGCTGAGGTGCCGAAGTGCAGGCACCAGTCTGGTGGCCCTCCTTTAAACATTTTCAACCAACTGACAGTCCCTAGCATATCCCGGGGACCAGACGGCGTGACAGTACTCTAGATGGGGAAGCACTTCACTCTTGAAGATCGTTACGAGGACGGACCGTCTAGATATCTGAACGACCTTCTTATAAGACCCAATAATTTATTTGCCTGGTTTACCTTCTTCTCGCAATGGCCCGAGAACTTCAGCTCATTGTCAACATACACACCTAGGTCCTTCTCACATTCAGTCTCAATTAGTGCAGTTTCTTCATCCCGTTGGGACATATGATACGCCTCCTTACCGTTGGTATGCCCCAGGTGCATCCTCTTACACTTCGTAACATTGAATCTCAGCAGCCATTCCTTCGACCCTTCCTGGAGCCCACAGAGGTCCTTCTGCAGCTCTTCACAGTCAGCTTGGTTCCTAATTTCCCGAAATAACTTAGCGTCATCGGCAAACATTTGTATGGAGGAGTGCACAACGTCAGGCATGTCATTTATGAAGTTTGCCTAGCTTATACTACAGACGGGCAAGGGGGAACCTAGTTGAGGTGTATAAGCATCTCAGGGGGTACTACTCAATTGAGTGTCCTTACTTGGAGCTGGCGGACGCTCGCCCCACAAGGGGTCACAGCTCAAGATTGAAGAAGCCGCAAGTCCAGAAAAATGTGAGGGCAAACTTTTTCGGAGTGAGGGTTGTAAACTCTTGGAACAATCTACCAGAGAGTGTTGTGACGGCACCGAGTGTGAGCTCTTTCAAGGCAAGGCTTGACCAACACTGGAGCGGGTTCAGGTACATTCAGGAGCCGGTGCATGCCCAGTATTTGCCAACAGTGCGTGACAGAAACGTGACCGATCGCCCGGGCGGGTAGCGAGCCGATCTTTTGGTGAAGAAGATAAATGAAAAGGAAAAGTAATCAGTGACCGATCGCCCAAGTGGCTAACAAGCCGATCAGTGGCGAAGAGGATAAAAGTAAAAAAAGTAAAAGGTTTAAAAAAATTGTAACAAAATGTGCATATATTTCCCCATTTTGTAATGAAAAAAGTAATAAACAATACATATACATGGTATTTTCAATTAATCATTATGATTTTTAAACCGAATCAAATTTTCATTTGGCTCGTATGAAACACATCCTTTTTTGTTTGTGAACCATTTCAGATGAAATATTAGAGATGTTAAAGTCTGTAAAAATAATATTTCTTTACTTAGTTTTACCTTAATCCTCTTCGCCATTGATCGGCTTGTTAGCCGCCTGGGCGATCAGTCACATCTCTGATTACTTTTTCCTTTTCATTTATCCTCTTCACAAAGATC